AAGAGAGAAAACGATGAACTGGGTCGAAGGTTGAATACCTAAGCAAATTATTCCCTACAAACACCAAAAATATAAACCATCAAAACCACTTTGTGACATGAATGGCTCCTTCAACAACATTACGGAAATGAAAAATTGCTGCCTTGTCAAAACCTCTAAGACAAATGTACTCGATTCTGTCTTATAGTGAAAGCTTGACTTAATTTTGAGAGACAGCGCCCTGAGGTAGCAGTTACTCATCCACCAACGACCTTCACTCACTCCCGAGCGCTTCAATCAACATTGATTACACAAGATCTCCTTCCTATGCAGGATGTCTTAACGCAGAAACTTCCTGAGAGCCCTCATTGTGCTCAGCATCAAAGTGTTACTGAAGGCTCCACCTGCCCGCTTCATTTTCATGCCTCTTTTCCTGGTCTACTTCTCTGAAGATGATGGATGCTTTTGAAATCTATGAGGACAGCTGGTCATTAGGCTAGAGGTGAAGCGAGACTCTCTGTATGACCGTGTTGAAAGGGGTGCAGGGGGGCAGTAAAGCAGGTTGCAGCGGAGAAATGAGAGCCAGGGGAGTGAGTTAGAGCACTTTTGTTTGCTGACATTACAGAGGCACATTGTAATGCAGCAGATAATAGCCTGCAGGTCAGACTGGGGGCCTAAAGGGGGGGGGGGGCGGGCAGCCGGCACCTGCTGCCATTCATTCAAGGTGACAAAAAGCTGATGTCACCACCTTGCTGTGGCTCTGCGGTGTGTCCAGCCTCTAGGTGTGTGTGTGTGTGTGTGTGTGTGTGTGTGTGTGTGTGTGAGGTTTTATAACCATCTGTGCGAAGTTGCTCACATGAATCAGGTAAAATGTCATAAACAAATGACATAAGGTGGTGCAGGAATGAGTCCTAAAACCCTGAAATGAGTCAGCATTTTAACACATGCAGTTTAGTCGTCATGAAGTCAACTCTTTTTAATAACATCTTTGTATCAGATGCTTGAAATGAGGTCTGTGGTTAACACAAGCTTTAGAGATTTTCACGTTTTATTCCACGACATAAAACACGTTAGTAAACAACGCACTTGTACATTTCAGAAACGGCTCAATGAGACTAACATCATCACAAAGAACTTTAGCTGCCTTTAGCTTAGCAGGGGTTACGTGAAGTTATTTGACCTTGATGTTATTCTTTTATAGCCTTAGCTTTTTACTTAAAAAGTGAGAGAAGTGGAATTAATATGTTGAGATTATCCTGCTGAAACAAAAACTTTAAAGTTTCATAAACGTTTGTTTGCCACAGAGCTTATTTTCTGCAATTTTCAACTGCCAGGTCAGCCTACGAAAGATAGTAATTACTGCACCACTATAAATGAAAGCCCCTGCTGTAGAAACCACCCTGCATATTAACTGTTCACCTGGACAAATCACTTTGCATGCATCCAGCCATTACACAACAACACCTGCACTGCAATCACTGCATGAGGCAGGCAGCTTTTGTTCTGCAGGACACCTGGGACTGTGCATGAGGTTTACAGCCCCTTTCCAGGCACTGTGTTTCACCTTGCTTGTTGAAAGGTAAAAACAGAGCTTTTAGGTTTAAAAGCGGTCTCCAGCTGGCTACAAACAGCAGAGATAGAGGTCGATGCTCTCTAACGCTGAGCAGTCTACCCTTCAAACACTCAGACAGCCATGAGAGCCCCCAGAGACGTTTCTGCTCTGTATCTAGCTCTCACTGCTGCCCTTCCCACAAACACACAATCACACACACACACTGAGCATTTAATTCATATCAGTGTGCTGCTTCAGTAAAGGTCCGGACTGCCTTCGCACCTGAGCGTCAAGAGGTGAAAAACACCTGAGAGGAGAAGAAAGAGAGAAGACACACAGTTCACCGTCAAAACAACTTCATGTGCTTTCAGGATTTAATTGAATTGAAGGCAGCCGGATCTCAGTGTGGAAAGATTAATCACTTCCCATTTATACCTGATCTAGGCTGTTTTAAAACTCTGAACTTTCCTAACAAAAAAAGACAGACTAGACAAATTAGCCCAGACACCATTATATGTGGTGCAGAGCTGTTTAATGAAGCCTATAATGATGTAACTTTCCTGTTTTTGTCACTTTGAAACACTTTTTCCTTTCCCACAGTATATAATTTAGCTGTGGTTCAACCAGACACCAGCAATTCAGCCCCTCCTCTGTGTAACCTAAGCATAAGGGAAATTATTCATTAGCGTGTGAGAGAGAAACTCCAACTCAACTTTGGGATTTTAGCCATTGCAGACCATTGACATGCACAATACCTATATAACGCACTACAGGAAAAGGGAAAACCCCGAAAATGCATAATAGGGCCCTTTTAAGATCGGAAAAAGCTCTGTTTTTCTCCTAATGACTAATAAACTGAACTTTATGTAAAAGATCAGTAGCTTACCCCTTGTTGCTTCTTGGATAAGAGCTCCAAGTTGATGAGCGATTCCTCTCACTTTAAACCTTAAGGGTATGTGCATATAAACCAGAGGAAAAAAAAACCTTGTGCACAGGATTAATAGACAAAAGCCCAACATTTGCACACCAACTATGATCTGCTCCAGCTTCAGCGTGGGCAAGCTGGAAAAGGACGAGCACGGGTTCAGTCATTTCAAGAGGTTCATTGGGTTCTTCACAGTAGCCACCCACCTACTCCAATAACCACAGCACACACACTCAGCCCCGAAGAGACACACTGCATGTGTACAAGTGGACAGCAGAGGAACAACCCTGTGGGCAGCATAATATTACCCTCCAAAACCTCTTTTTATCTGAGGGATAAATTAAACAAAAGACAAGGATGTGTTCACACTCAAGAGACCATCAGCTAGGTGCATTTAAGAATGAGGTTCATCTCTGGTTTTATAATCCTGTCTGCAAGTCAAAGAGATTTACTTTTTTCAATAAAATGACCTATTTAGGCTGATTTCTTTTTGGCTGGATGACTATAGTGTGATTTTTTTTTTTTTTTTTTTTTTTTTTTTTTTTTTTAAATCAGATTTTATTAGCCAAGCTTGAAAGAGAATAAAGAGTATTTTGTTTAAACCAAGCTGTCAATTTTTTTGAAAATGGGGAATGTAATAAAACGATGGCCACTGTTACTGGTGAATTGTTAACTAAAAATAAAGGCAGTTCTCAAATCTTCTCCTGATGCCACAACAGAGCTACATGGCAGCAGCTAACGCTTCACCTGCAGAGTGAGAGAGCCAGAGGCAGCGTGAGCTCACGGTAACACTCGTTTTCTGCTTGGATAAACTTGGGTCAAACAACAGAGGTTTAAAGTAAAAAATAGCACCGGTTCATCCACTGGTAGTGATGTGGTGTAGTCAACATTCCTTTTGTTTGGCTGACAAGATTCATCATCATTGCCACATCATATTTACACTATTGAAAGTGCAAACATTTGAATTCAAAAGCTGAGAATAATTTACATAATGATGCAGTCCCATGTAAATCTCGGTAAGTTTACAATCTGATCATCGATTGCATCTGACATTAATCTGTGAATAACTCCTTACAGTTGAATCAAGATAAAAACTGAGCGAGAAAAACTCTGACCAGCTAAAGTTATTTGGGATAAACTCCAAGGAACAGGTCAGGAATGTTGGTGTTATCCTTGACTCTGACCTTAATTTGCAGTCCTAAATTGAAGGAATATTGCGTGTGTCAGAGAGGATCTCACAGGCAGACAAGTTAAAACATGCCTTTATCTCCGGCAGGCTGGACTAATGAAACACATTTCTGTCTGTCTAGGAAAGCTTTTGGACAGGTTACAACTCATACAGAACATAGCCGCACGTGCTCCGACGAAAAAAAACAGTAGAGCCCACATTGCTTCGATCCCAAAATCTTTTCATTGTAGCCAGTCTGTCACAGAACTAATTATAATCGTTTATTGAATCACCGAATGGCTCTGCTTCTTGTCCGACATGTTTAAAACCTAAGTGACTGGAGGTTGTAAAGGCTTTTAGTCACATCTTTTACCATTGTTTTTTGGCAGAATTTTACCTGATGTCATCTTGTCAAAGCTTTTTTTTTTTCCTTTAGTATACATTTTGATCATGTAATTTCACATTTAGTGCTTGTTTTAAGAATAGTGCTATACATTAGACTAAAAACTGTGATATTAGGAAAATGTAAGAGGGGTCCGAGCCTCTTTAGAGACAAATGTTGGGAAACGGACATCCCCGATTTGAATATTGATACTTTAAAACTTAATGAGGCACTGTGCGCTTTGCAAAAACTCAATGCGTTTGTGGCAGTGATCACAGGCAAAGCTGAAATATGCCAGCAACCAGACTCAGGTTTAATTATGTTCAAGTAAGCTGAGAGCAACTATTCTGGTGCAGCTTTTATACCACTAACAGTGGTTGGTTCTAAGCAGTAGAAAACCACTAAAAATATATGCCCACTCGCAGGTCAGCTGATCAGTTGCTCCTGAGGGTGCCAAAAACTAAGTCTAAGCGCAGAGGCGACCGTGCTTTCTCTGCTGCCTCCCCTAAACTGTGGAACAACCTGCCCTTGCTAATCAGACAGGCTCCCACACTGTCTGTTTTTAAATCCAGTCTTAAAACCCACCCACCTTTTCTCCTTAGCATTCGTAAACAAGTAGATTGTTGCTTTCAGTGGTCTATTGTTTTTATGTTTTTTATTTTGTAATGGTTACATGTATTCTGGTTTGTTTTTTGTTCGTATTTTTATTTTAAATTGATTTTATGTTTTGTGAGCCGAGCAATTTTATATTTTATGTATCTCTCTGTACAGCACTTTGGTCTGGAGGTTTTAAAGTGCTATATAAATAAAGTTGGATTGGATATGAGCAACCTCAACAAGTTTGTAAAATGCAGGGCTATTGAAATACCAACTTATCAAAGGTTTTAAGATTAAGTCAATGTGATGTCTGTCTAAACACGCCGTAGGAACATGTTATCACTAATTTCGACACCGTGTTGCCAAACTGTGAAATAGAAAACTCATTACTGCCATCTAGTGGGAGGCCAGAGCAATGTCAAGGCAAATAACAATTTTATTGAATTAATACATTAACATACAAAAGCATTGAATACAACATTCTTCAATATAACCCATTTAAACAGCAGGGTAAGACACTTCATCTGGAGTGGACAGCTCAACATCCTGTAAACACAAAATGTGTGAAACACTCATGTTCAAATTCACAGATGCTGGTTAAAACATTATGCCTCCACCGATCTTACCGTGTTCACGTCTTCAATGAGCACTCGATTCCCCTGCATCTCAAAGTCGCTTTCCGTGTCATTGTGCGAGCAGTACTCTTCACTCTCAGTCTCGATAGAACTGGGCTGAGAGATTGATCAGCATTAGGATAATGTTTGCTCCATCATGTGGCGTTAAAGGCTTTTTTGTTTTTATGAAAAGGGTATAGATTTCACAGGTTCACAATGAACATGTGGTACTTGTAGCAATAAAGTCATCCACTTTGAAACACCTTCATTTCCCCTCAGAAATGGGAGGAAAATTAAATGTTTACCATCCTTCAAAACACAAGTTTGCAGCTCAGTTGAAAACTGGAAACAGCCGAGATCATGCGCTGCCTTGACCTTTAGCACTAACCTCATAGTCGGGATCCACCTCGAGGTCCTCGTCATCAGCGAGCTCCTGATTAAGCGTCTCCACCCAGGTCTGACTCTCCTCTTCTTCTTCATCCTCGTCCAACTCATTCTGCTTTCTCTTGCTGCCCTTTCCACAAGGTTTAGTAGGAGAGACTCCGATTTCTGTGGGGAAACAAGCATATATAGAAAGGTGCCTGGGGAGAGTCATGGTCTTGCATGGACCATCAAAAGGTCAAACCGTAAATCATTTTTCCACATCAAGCATGACTGTTACACCAACATTGATTTGATCTCAGTTTGACATGGTAAAACATGTTTGTTTTGGTGCTGCTTAACAGGGGAACCTTGTTAACAAAGCTATTACATTTGCCATGTTAAAAAAAAAGCAAAAACTAAACAGTTTTCTTTCAAAGTCAGAAAATGCTGCACTTTTCAGGGAACAGAAATCTAGCACTGGTTTCCCCGAGTAGTTAGTTAAATGTTAACAGTGATAGACCAAGATCATCCCAAGTAGCAGGGCAAACAATTAGCAACATTACTAGCCAAATAGCCAGTAGGTTCAAGTCACTAGCCAGCTTCCCCAAGACACTTAAGATTAGCTGGTAAAAAAAACAACAACCTTAACACGCTTTAATGAGGCCAAAGGAAACATCCTTCCCAATGAGAACAATTAGCAATACATTATCGTTGCATGAGTTGGGAGCATTGGTGTAGATTTACACAAGTACAATTGTGAGATACTTGTACTACTTTACTTGAGTATCTCCATGTTATGCTACTTTGAACTTCAATTCAGAGGTAAATAGTGTACTCTTACTTCTGGTACTTACATTTTGAATTCAGGACTTTTACTAACAGATTATTCTTACACTCTGGTACTACTTTTACTGAAGTACAAGATAGAATAACTTCTCCCACCTCTGGATTAGAATCAACTCATAAGAGTTTAACAAAATAAAAATGGGGCAACGTTTTTGGTATTGTAATGTAGTAGTCTACAAACAAGGCCTGCTTTCCACAGAGTAAGATTTTTCACAACTCTTGATACCTGGTGAGAAGGAGAGCCCGATGCTGCTAAACACCGGGTATCCCAGTTTACTCTGCACCCAGCGGGGCAGCACGGACAGCAGCAGGCGGGTGACCCGGTGCAGGCGCTTGCGGCTGGAGAGGCTCTGGCGTCCGGGGCTGAGGACCGAGGAGCTGAGGACCGAGGGGCTGAGGACCGACGGGCTGAGGACCGAGGGGCTGAGGACCGAGGGGCTGAGGACGGCCTTCTCCTGCGGCTGCCGGTAACCCAACACCCACCAAAACCCGCGGTATGTGTAAACCTGTAAGAAAGAGCCATTTTAGAGAGTGCATGTAAAGCTAAGTTGGATGCAAAGGTGACTTAGCTGCAGCTCTTACCAAGATGCCGAAGGGCCAGAGGAGGCCGCGCAGCACGGAGCGAAACACGCCACCGCTTCTCACCACGCTGTCCTCCTGCAGAGACAAAACAGGTGAGAACTACCATTTACGAGTTGTTACGTTAATTCATATGTTCTCTAGGAGTAGCATCTATAACACTTGTGGAGAACACCGAGATTTGATGCGTCTTTCCACCATTACGTTACCTCAGTAAGACTGTTTTCGACCTGCTCCAGCTCCACGGTTTCTGTGCGGATTTCACAAGTCATCCTGGTGGGTCTGCCGGCCTGAGATGATGAGGAACAGGCGTTAAAGGGAGTACTGGGTGGTGTGTATGTGTGTGAGTTTTGGTGGGTAATATGTAGGCTACCCTGAAGTTGCGTCTGTTTAGCCAATCAATAGGGACGAATGCACCTGGCGCAATCAGAGAGGACCAATGGAGAAATCCCGCCAATTAAGCTGCAACAGGCAGAGAGATGGTGGTCACATGACCGGTTTGAATTCAAAAAGAGGTCACATCATCCCAGAAATAGTGAACATGCTGCAAAAAGAACTATAAAACCTATCAACTAAGATAAGAATAAAGGTTTTAAAATGAATTAAACAAAATTATCTAAACTTGAAAACAAACATGTAAAACAAAACTTGTCTTGATAAAACATTTTAAAAGATGAGAAAACAGTTTACTGTAGGATTTCCTTTCCCACAGGTTGCAGCTTTATATTTGTATACAAAAGGTTTTTATATGTGTATAAATAAGGTTTTTATTTATTGATTGATTAAGTCCAAGTGATATGGACTATTATACAAATAAACTGTACCCTTTGAGCGATAGGCTTTATCAACTATTTTCAGACATTTTTAGACCAAACCTGACTATAATTGAAAATATAATCAGCAGATTACTGCTAATAAACATAGTCAATATATTTAGCCTTATTGCAACCGTAAACATAGCCGGAAACCATTCAACCATGAAAAGTCAAATGGTTATTTCCCTAAAATGAGGGAATGTTCTGTCCTGACGTTCTGAGAGGTAGAGAGATGATGCATCTCTGTCTGCTTGTTTGCATATGAAGAGGTTTAAGAGCGAGGCCCACCATTATGCTCCCTCAAGCTCCCTAATTGGTAACCATTTCCGCTTCTGGCTTTCGTCACATTTTGTTGATGCATTTGGTGGAGGACAAAATGTGCAAAGTGGAGATGTATAAAAGCTGCCTGTTGTCCCCCCTGTGCCAGTATACAACCGAGCCTGTTTGCAAAGACAGTGAAAGACGTTCAGTGATGGATCACAACACAGTCACACGGACCTTCAGTTATGGAGCTATTGGCAGTAGGACTGAAGCTCTGGAGGATTGGTCCACATCACGCAGACACAGCAGCGCAGGGATCCGTGCACTCCTGTGGGCTACCAGCAGTGCACGGTCCCTCGGGTGTTCACTAGAATCGGACTTCCAGACCAGCCGGGAGAACATTTATCCAAATATCCTGACACCTGACAGTATCCCACAGTTCACTATACCAAGTCTGTCTGTGCAGAACAGCTGCAGATCATTCGACAAAGAGAGAGACGAGGATAGTGCAAAGACAAATGATGGCTTAGGGAGTTCTGGGACTGATCTGGAGTCATCTTTATCTGCGTCTCTGGCCTGCTCCACGCTCTCATCAACCACATCTTCCAACAGCCTCACTTTGGTTCTGTCAGATCGCAGGGCCGAGAGGAGTCTCTCAGACCCGTATTCCCGGAAGAAATCTATTCTTCAGAGGGAGGCTTCCTATGATTGCTCCTTCTCCGAGGCCCAGCACTGCCTGGACCCTTCCAGCAGAGCCGCCCTCTCCCTGCCGCACTTAGCCAAAGTCACCACCCCGTACGGCTTCGTCACCTTGAGCCAGAGCCCACAGATGGCGAGCGAGGAGGCACTTCTCTGCCAAGCTGGGCTACGGCGCTTAAACAAGAGCGAGGAGACTGCATGCGCTTATAGCAAAACTCCACTGACAAGGACAGTATACAACAAAGGCAACTCCCTTTACCTGTCAGAAGACAAGAAGAGAGTGTTTAAAAAGTCAACAGACTCACAGAACAAAGAAAGATCAGTTTCTTCAGAGATGAAGGCTGCCTCTAACAACAACACAACAGTTGCATCCTCTTCTACACCCAAACAACCAGATGGCAAGTGTAAAAAGCGGTTCTATAATGTTATACGGAAACACTTCATCTCCCGCCATTAGAATTTAATCTTGGGACTGATTTGTAACAATGCAAAGTGTGTTTTAAATGTTTAAACTGTGTATTTATTCATGTAAAAACATGCCAATGTACACCAATGTTCTTGTGAAATACAAAGCATTTGTCTTGTGTGAGTTGACAAAAATGTCAGAATGATAAAGCTGTGAAAACTTTGTGGAAAATGTATCAATTGTCACTTAAAAAATAATAAACAACATAAACAGACTGCTTTTATATTGTGTGTACTATGTTAATGTCTTATTCATTTAAAGTTCCTGTTTCATGTGTTGAGTAGCTTGGAGAATCACCTTTAAAATTCTCATAAAGGGCAGAGTGAGTACTTCAGATCCACCATAGTGTTTAAGGTTAATGAATTCCTCCACCGCTTCCAGGATCTTAAATGTCACTCGCTCTCGGGCTGTCGGCTCCTATTCAGCCCCTTGTTGAATACGTCTGTGTAGTTTCCACGGTTAGCTGGATCTCTAAACCTGCATGAATGTGTGCTGGTTCGTCCCTCAGGAAATTGTTGCTCCTTAGCATACGAAGTGCGTCAGTGGAGAGACCCTTAATGATGGTCGACTAATGCATCCTCGAGGAGCCCTGCGCACTCCACACTCCCACACACTGAGATTTAGTGGGTAAATATCATTATGATGCAGAGTGCTCGGCTCTTGGAGCAGTGGAGGGCAATGAAAATACAAGAATAGGTGTGTGGACACAAGAACATCTACAATTATAATCACTCGCCATAAGGTTTGTTTATTTGCATAAGCGATTCTACATTCACAATTGTGGGCCTCATAAGGGTTTCCGCTACCATTTCATTCACAGCTCATTTCAGTCACTTAAGATAAAGAGATTGATGATTTTTTAGTTTTTCAGAAAATTAAGCAATAAGACAGTCCAAATTTAAACCCAAAAGCAAGTGTTATAGTTGTACATGCTTTATTTAGCCTGTATCTTTGATCTGTATTGTGTTGTGTTTATAATATTTAATTTTAGGCCATTATATCCCAATCATTTAAATGGGGTGAACAAAGTGCAGAAAATTAAAATCTTCTGAAAGCTATGGATTTGTTAAATGTATTTATACAGGAAATAAAATGCAACAGGCACTCGATTCTACAAAATAATAATGAAAAGAAAAAATCGTCAAGACCAAAAGAAATAAGATAAAAAGGTAATATAATTGGTAACAGAAAAGGGAATAATAATAATAATAATTCTTGAAAAAAAGTATAACCTATTAACACACACTTTAAATGTAATTCAAATCTTAACATGTTTAAGACTGCATTTGTTTTAACTAAGTTTACCAAATAAACTTGCTACTGAGTATATATCTGGAAGCCAAGAAAAGTACTTTATTATATAACAAAAGTCAATCAATATCAATATCAATCAATACATCGATCAATTTAATAAATGTATATTGATAGAGAAATCAAAATCAAGGAGAGTCTTTTTCATTGTCATGAAATATTTTTCAAACATTCCCGTCTCCCTCCGGAGGGATTGTAAGAGGTCTGGTGACATTTTGGATTTGATTGACACTTATTTAATGACCATAACCATTTTTAATTTCTCCTCTGTAAATATAAGTCCATCCAGTGCTTCCTTTTCAAAATGATGAGATTAATGGCCCATCACTGCAGCTGACATTTTGATTTACACAAAGCTTGTTTTCAGCTCTATATTTTGAGATTAGTAAATACATCAGTCACAAACATGTTTACACGTTGTCATTGTGATTTAAATGAGACAGTGTTATGATATAAATATAGCAGAAATGATTGTGGAAAACCCTTTGAGAGACTATCACCCTTAACCCAGAGGATGTGAGGGATGGGAGTACTTCAATAGAACACAGGATATACACTCCAGCACAACAGCACACACAATGGCAGATAATAGACACATGCGTGGAAGTTTTTCTGTGGATCACTGACGTCACAAAGGTGTTGTATCATCGCAAGATGGTCTCTAGTGCTGTTTTGATTTGATTTTCCAGAGCTGTGCTACAAAATTAAAGATGGTAATGTTGAATATTCAAAAAGGTCTTTATCTTTCTCATACGGCCTGTGCTGCAGCAGCTCTTTTCACCCTCTGTCCAAAACCAGAGCCCAGTCTGCTCTGATTTGTTAGCTGGGCGGCTCTGTTGTCATTGGTGAACCGCTTAGAGATGTCCCGCCCCTTATCCTATCAAGTATAATATGTTGGAGCGCTAGCCAATAGAAGCACAAGTGTTACATAGTGATGTCAACATGTTAAACAAAGGGGTCCAATCGAAACGTTTCAGGATGGGGGGGGGGGATTATAGCCTTTGCAGACCATTTACATGCACATATTACACAACCTATAACACACTACAGGAAAGGAGCACAACCCAAAAAGCATAATAGGGCCCCTTTAACTCCCTCCCTTTCCATCTTCATAGTGTGTAACTATTCCTCTCATGTCATCATAGGTCATAACAGAATGTATCTCCCATTGTTGCCATATATTGACAAGGTTAAGCTGCTTGTACTTTATCTGCTAAAATATTTAACCTTTCCTTTAAATTCAGTGAAAGCAAACACTCCTAAATGCAAGCACTGAGTCTTGAAGAGGGCGTTGCATTTGTTGAGACTTAAAACTGCATCATACAAAAGAGAGAAGTTCACTCTGAGAATACACATGACAAACGTAGATAAACTGAGAGAGAGAAAGAGACGTCAGAGCGAAATGAAGGGGCTTTCTGTAACTGCTCTTCCTCGTTCTGTCAAATTGAGGTTAGCTCAGAGAACAGTTGTGCCCTCAAAACAGACCCCACTTTTCCGGTACCCACTTCAAGTACAGAAGTAAAAGAAAAATGTGTGCAAAAGATAATAAGGGCAGAACATTTACATTCAACTACACAGACGAGAGGCAGAGCAAAAGTGTCAGAGGGAGTTACTGAGCTAAACGGGAAGTATTTCGGAGAGGCACTGAGTTAGCCACCTGTAAGCTACACACACACACACACACACCGCTTTCAGTGACAGCAGTGAACAGTGAGAGAGGTGGAGGTGAGGTTGTAACTTTATAGATTCTTGATGGCGTCTGGACCTGGCAGCAGAGCGGAGGAACAGCCACCAGCACTGCCTGTCAAAAAGCACAGGTAAGAGGAACAAACTGACTCTTAATAGAAGTTTAAAAGTATTTAAAAGATTCTCTTATTGGGTTACCTTTAGATCTAGTCCATAATCCTCAATAAGATCCTTATTTATTAGGTAGGACACTAATTTGCTTATGTCAAACCTCCTGCAGGGCTTGCACTTACATGTGTTTTTGTGATTCTGTGCATCAGTAGCCGTTCTTCCAGATGCTCCAGTGTTGGGTCTGATTGTCTGATGCTCAGCCCTGTTGGACTCCAGCATCAGAACTACACGTACAACGACGTATTCCCTGAACCCACCGATTGTCACGCAGCCCAGTGCCCCATACACTACGGTAGGTTTACAGAAGGTAAAGTGACTAAAGGTCGTGGGAAAGTGCTCCATTGTTCTAAATGTCATTGAAACAACAAATCCATCATCTACTGGTGCATGGTTCTCTAATTCGGATACAGCTCAGAGCGATGGGAAGAGAAACTTCTTACCATAATATGAAGTCTTCTCAGTTCGTCTTTCTCATGAGAAATGAAAGAGAGGAAGTTAAAATGTGAAACTCTTACCTTCAATAACATTCATTTAGTATTCTGACAGATTATAATGAGTTGCAGACTGTTAATGCTGACACACACTCCTCAAACTTGTGCATGTTTATTGCTTTTGCTCACTGACCCAAATCTCTGTCCCTGTGTTTCTCAGATCCCTCCCAACACCAGGTGAGATTTTTCTCCGATGGCACCCCGCCGCCTGTCCCAAAGAAGAGGTTAGCTCGCACCCTCTCCCTCCCTTGCTCCAATCTGCCTCCACTCTCCCCTCTGTGTCCCCCGTCTCCACTGCAAAGACACCCTCAAAACTTCGACAACCCCCTGTACATGCTGGCACCCATACCTGACGTGTTTTTCAGAGAGGAGACAGAAGAGTTTAAACCTGTCAGTGGGAGTAACGTCTCTTTCCTGCACCTATCCCAGCTGTCCTTTGACACCCCGGATGAACATCTGCCCTTCCTATTCAGTAGATTTGACGACCAGAGGGTTGTTTCTCAGGGGATTCAGAATCGACATCTACTGTTTTTGAGAAGCGTGGCCCAGAGTGTGGAGGCTGGGATCCTGCTGCAGGGAGAGGCCTCAGAGAGGGACGTGAGCTCGTACCAGCCTCAGGATTTCCTGCTGTGTGAGGGCAGCGGGCCAAAGCAGATCGGAGACACGCTTTTCTACAGCCTGCACAGCCCCAAGCAACCCGGGAGGACGCTTGCTTTAAGGGTAAGGTTACAACACTTTTAAATAGAGTACTGTACGTTCTGTATGATAATAAAAAAAGGTAAAATGTTCTGTTGTAGTATTCTGTTAACTTTGGGTCACATTGCAATTGAGGTCATCTGCAAAGCAAAGTGGTTTGCACATTGCTAGCAGTAAAACAAACTTGATCTTTATCACGATTGGCAAATGTGACACTGACTTGCGGTACCCGAAACACTTCCTCTAAACTGTCATCAGGTGTTATAACTGCAACAGGAAGGCGAGAGAAGATATATTTTTCTTCATATTTCACAATACATATTTTTGCAATGCATGTGTTTTTTTATTATGACTATGGAGTTTTCGGTCTTTCTGTGCAGGTACACAAACAGCCTGATGAAGCCTCCTCAGCTCACACCAAACACCAGCATGTCAACGTTCAAGATATGATTGCTTATTTCCAAGCAAGCAACGCCCTGAGGGAAGATTCCAGTAAACTACAAACTCAAGCTCCCTCTCATCCTCTGAAGTCAGACTGCAGTGCTGCTCCACCAGCAGTAGGAGGCAGCACTGAGTGTGCCACAGTTCATGTGAACATTAATCTGCCCTCTGTTCAGTCTCTCCTGCAGAATGGACTCTCAGTGGGTGTTGAGAGAGACCTTCCTCACGCCACTCTAGAGGACTTTGTCCAGGTTAACAGCTCACTGCAGAGCACTGACTGTGAGGCCTATGACAGACAGGTATGTGCTCTGTTGCTGCAGATACTACTGGGCTCACAACATCTGTATGACATCGGAGCCACAGCGGCTGAGCTCAGACCTCAGGGCATCTTGTTAGTGTGGCCGTACAGGGATAATGAAGAGGGAGAAGACAAGGATGATTCTGAAATGAAGAGCGGTTTCACTACCAACAGGAAGATCAAAGAAGGAAAGACAGAAAAAGGGATCCAGATGTTATGCAGGACATACGGTTCCCCTCGTGTGGTGTTAACCCCGGTATCATCTGCTCCAATACCTCACCTCTCCACCTACATAAAAACCCAGATTGCAGCTCTGATTGAATACTGCCTCCACTCACAAGAGAGCCTGGCCTCAGCCCTGTCCAAGTCCTCGTACCGCAGAGGGCTCCTCTTCCTGGGGTCTCTGCTCCACTCTGACAGCAGGGGGCCGCAGATGGCTGACATGGTGGCCCTGCTTCAGGTTCTCCTCTGGGGGCCACGAGCCTCGCTCTTCAATCAAAGCGGCTCTATGACCACCGCTGTGCACAACTGGCTGACAGTCAAGCGAGCGCTGCTGGTGATGAAGCTGGCAGAGAGAGGGCTGATCCAGGATCAGTCTGCACTGAGTTGGGAGGACTGTATGTGCCTGCAGTATCTGTCGTTCACAGAGCCGGAGACAGTCCTGAGTGTGACCAGTCAGCTGTCACTGGACGGATCGTCGTGAAGTTAAATCATTATTTTGCCCACTCTCGGGTATTGACAGTCCAAGATCATTTTAATTGTCAGTCTGTTTTATGCACAATAGTCAAAAATACACTGAGAAAGCTGTTCCAATCCTTCCTTTAAAAATACAAAACATGGATATTCTTCATATACTGCTTTTCATCATGTGACATTGATTTAATAAAATGCTGCACTTATTTCTGCTGTAATATTTAATATTAAGTGGCCTACTTTTGTATTTCCCAAGCAGCTTTGTACTAGAAGTGAAGGAATTAGGTGTATTTAAAAAACATATTAAATAACTAAATTACTCTCTATGTTTTTTGTGTGTATTTTTCGCGCTAAATATTGCACTCAAAATATGATTGATTTAAAACACGCTAGCTCTATATCACATGTAATATTAACATGATTTTTTGGGTGTTAAACATCAGTTATAGTTACTACCCGTACATAGCAATACCTCTAGATGAAATTGAATTTAATAGAAGTTGAGATTTCATTTTTTTCCATGCTTTAGATTTTTTAAGACACTTATATTGTGAGCATGACTGTCCATAATGACTCCATTGTATGCTTATTCCTAATAAAATCAAGATTAGTGACACACTTAAGGCTTCAGTATGCATCAAAGGAAGTGCTTTCAGACCTTCAAACACCAAGATTGAGTCATTAAATGTATCTGACTAAATAGACAATTATGCCCACTGCATCAGATCAACAGTTGTGCTTATGTGAGGAAAACGACCTTTTTCTCAGTTTTTCACACACCCACTACTATCTTGTAAAATAAGTTTGACGCCATGAATGCAGCCACAGGGATAGGCTAGGTGACAGCAGACTACTTCAAGTGTGTCCATGTGTAAACAAACACTTTACATGTGGTCAGAAACCTTATAGGATTAGATAAACCACAGACACCCCTTTCTTAGGTGAGCACTTTTATTTAGTAGTTACAACATGCAGATTTCTATCACGTGAACTAAAGCAACAAATTAGAATCATGCGCACGTTTAAAAAAAAAAAAAAAGGAATCAACTGGTACTTGCTATTGAAACATTTCTACTGACAGGAGTAGGATTAATTTAAATTTACCATAAATATCACACTGTGGAGATGATCATCGGAGGAGGAGGGGGGGAGAGGGATTGGCACTACACATCATGGATACAGTGGTGAGGACACATTGCCCGGATAGTAAGTGAACGCTTACTCTACATTCCTGGTACATTAACATCTTACCCTAGTGCAAATATAATTGAAACACAGCACATGGCAGGTGAAGCAAACAGAAAGGAAACCTCAAGCACATTGTATTTGGATAATATATTCATTTCCCGTAAGAATCATAAAGCTGTGTAGCGTATGGATTGAAATAAGAACAACAAACATCTGTAACTGCTCAGCGTTATTTAATCGTCATCAGAGGAGTCTCGCTCGATGCTGTAAGCCATGAAGAAAGCGTCGGGGCGGGAGGGGACGAGGGGATGACCCGGTCTCACAATCTCAAAGCCCAGGAAACTGAAAGTACGCAGCAGGGAAGCTGGGGAGGGACAAGAGGGACACGGATGTAAATAAAAGGACCGTGATCCAGAAACTGCACCTTCAAAATACTGTCAAAACGGCCAGTCTTGTGTACATATAAAGTATATTACAGCTTTGAGTAAACAAAGCAGTTCAAATGAAGAGTTTAACATAATAAAAACCCAGTAAACAAAAGTCTCACCTCTGTCGTCACGGCTCTTGTGAAAACAGATGAACGCGTGATCAACCTGCAGCTGCTCTTCTGCAAATTCCAGCAGAAGAGCAAAACTGTAGAGAAACAAAGCAAACAGACGGGTGAATGTTTCACAGGAGGAATGTTAATGAAGTTACAAAATATGTATTCATTATGGTCTAAGCATAAGAGTAACATTTAACAAGAAAACCAAAGCATTTAAACCTTAACTTGACTTAAAATGCTTATTTGATCAATCAGGCTGATCAAATGATCTTTTTCACATTTATTTGTTATATTAACATTCAAGTTTGAGGTAATCTACTGTACGAATTAGAAAAAAACCTTAATGGTCTGTTATTCCCTTAGGTGTAGACACAATCTATCAATTTCTTCGTATTATTTGGAATTAGTACATAATGTACATTTCATCGCCCATCAATCATATAGATAGAAACAAGTTTAAATGTTTGTACAAGAGATTTCTTTTAAATGTTGAAAAGCGTTCTGCCCACGGACCTTTCTTTGCTGCCCTCGGGCAAAGCTCCAGGAGGGATTTCCACATAAAGATTATCTCCCTTCAGCGCCGCCCTCCAGACACAGTGCTTGCCCTCCGAGCGACGGGGCTCAAAGAGCAGGAAGCGCACTCTGCCGTTGGCAGGGGGGGGCTCCTCAAGAACCAGCAACTGAGTATCCTACAAGACAGAGAGGACAAAATGTTCAGAGGACAGAGTATAAAGTTGCAGGATAAAAATAAATGCAGTTAAGGAATCTTGATGAAAATTACAGAAATACTTTAGAGTTGGCAAGGAAACCACAGCTGTGCTTAAAGCCTGAACATGAGAAGCAGTAAAGATAAAAACAATCAGGCGAATCAACTTCAGAGCCATAAACATTCAGTAGATTGGTGGCTTTGATAGACAGGATGAGCCTCAGGTGAAGAGCGCCCGGGGTAACGGTTGTTTTAAGATAAATAGAAATGGCACAGGACATTTAAGGGACCATCCAAAGGTTCACAACCTTATCTGGGATGTCCTGTTTTATTAGCGGTCTAACCATTGTGATTGAAATGATATGTCTAGCTTCATGGTGTGTTCACAACAAGCAATTCATTCAAGAGGCATTAGTGTTGATGCAGCTGCAATGTCGGCAAAGCCCTAACGGATATGTACAGGGTTCTTACACCTTTTCCAAAGTCAAATTCAAGCACTTTTCAAGCATTTTCAAGGTGCATTTTCAAGCTTTTCAAGCATCTTACAGCTGTTGTAAATTACATATTTATATACACATACTTATACTCAAATGATTATTTCCCTACCTCACATTAAATCAGATGTTCTTTATGCTATAAACAACCAAATGTGTGTTTCATAATAGCATTCTACATGAGGATGAAAAATTAAAAATGTTAGAAAAGAAAACTAAGTTTAATATTTCAAAATGAGTGACCCATCTGTACGTAGACTGGGCATCCCATATAACCTGGCTGAGCCAATATAAAACAATCAGCCAAATAACTTTTCAATATATTATTGATTACTATTTTTGAGGTACTTTTAGGTTGGCAGTAAACACAAGTCAGAGGTAAATGGTGTACTTTGACTCCACTACATGTATTTAATACCTTTAGTTACTTTACAGATGTGGATGAATGATGTGAAATATAATCAAGTGTTAAATCAGACTTTAGTTCCACCTGGAGTAAATTCACAAGCTACCCTGCAGTATACAAAGTCATTCAAACTAGCTGCACCTTTACCAGCTTTGAGAACACTTTCATGATCAATCATTATAAAACATATCATATACAATTATTAGGGATGCTCCGATCGCCAATTTTGGGGCCGATCGCCGGAATCAGTATCGGCCGATACCGCTCTCTTTTCCTCTCTCGCCCTCTCTCTCTCTCCTGACAGCCCGTCAGTATCTCCTGCAGCTCACTGATCCAGTAATGAGCGACCCGACAGTGAAGAATAAATATATTTATAACTAGTTTAGCTTGTTCCAGAGGTAGATAAAATAGCTAAGTGTGTTAGGTCTAACTAATGTGTGTTCTGCTCCGCTCACCGGTCCGTCACAGCGGGTGGAGCTGCAGGATTTCTGCTTCACACACACGTTGCATACCGCTATTTTATTGTCATTTTCGGACACTTAAAATACTGCCAGACTAGTGAAGCCATTTTGGCGGGGTTGTTTTGCCGCGCACAGAGAAAAGTGTCATGTATTTTACATGCAACGATAGCCTAATCTAAAATGCTCTACTCTGGCGTACCTTTCGTGTGGTGTGTGGCGTCAGCGCAGACTCTCGCATCGTTATTGTTGCACACTTTGCAGGAGGCTACTCTTGGGCTTCGCTTGACCCTCGTCTTAGCCATGGCTTGTATTTGTCTTCTGCTAGCCAACGCTCGTTGAAACGGCAACCTCCTGGCATACTGTCATCTATCACTCTCATCAGAATGCCCAGGTCACACACACGTAACAAAAACACTTGCCGGTCACGCGCATAGCGCGGGAAGGCCGGAGCGGAGCTGTTTTATGTAAAAGCGAAGCAATTAAGCGCGCTCCGACTTCTTTATTTTCTTTTAATCTAAAAAGCGAAGTAAAGCATTTACAATTTCAAGCACTTTATCCCAAATTCAAGCACCATTCCCAAAATTCAAGCACTTTTCAAACCTTGAAAACACCTCGTACAATTTCAAGCATTTTCAAGGATTTCCAGCACCCGTACGCACCCTGTATGTACTTCATTCACAAAACAAACATTTTAAAAGTTGATGGCTTTTCATCTTTCCAACTTTAAAAAAATCGACATTATGGTTTAGTTATTTCTGCATCCTTTTGATCAGTTTATTGCATCACAATCATATCAAATGTTGCTTATTTTGGGTTAATTTCAGTGTATTGAACCAGATTAATCAAACGCACTAAACATTACATTACATGTCACTTGTTAGACGCTTTTATCCAAAGCGATTTACATACTCAATACTGTGGGCAATCCCCACAGGAGCAATTTGGGGTGAAGTGTCTTCAGGGACACAACGACATGCTGACTGCAGTGGCGTTTGAACCTGTGCTCCCCTGATCCGAACACCAACACACTAGCGCCACAGCCCCTCACTAAACAAATAGTCCCATGGTGAATTTCCGTAACGTAAGTAACAAATGGCAAAAATGCACTTTGAGTTTGATGTGAACACAGCATAACAATTGCAGTAACATAAGAACTGTTGATTTACTGCAGCAGTAAAACGATTACATTATTAGCTGGGTTGAAGATGAAGATTGAAAAGAGCAGAACTTATCTGCGTTGATAGTTCAAAGAGGTTGCTCTCTGCATTTCTAAAAATATTAAGAAAGTGCTTTTTAACTCACAGAATAGAATGTCTTAGCTGAAAGATTGCGATCCCTCTGGTCATTCCCTCGCCCACCTGGGATCTTCAGGGGTGGGAGAGGGGCATCAGGAGCACCACAGAGGCCCCGGACACGGGTTACTGCAACAGCGGGAGCACCTCCTGGGATTGGAGGTACTGGAGTGCGAAACAAACACACACACAGAAGGAGCCATTATTAAATGGAGTATTCACTGGAGGTTCTGCTACCCGACTCCCGATATACACAACAGGGGTTAGACATTAAACTGTTGAGTTACTCATCTTCAAAACTACGGTTAAACAGTGGCTAAAGTTGAGTGAGTCCTAAGAAACTAAATATAAGGCCGATGGGAACAGTTCAATCAGTAACTGTCCTCATCGCCAGCAGACAGACAGGAAGCTGAAATAGTTTGAGTAACACTTCCACATTTGAGATGTCCCATGTGCAATGTCAACAAGAGGTAAAATATTCACTACAAGATATTTTTGTTTCCATTTCACAAAGTCCCAATCCTAATCCCTGTAACCTTTGGAAAAATAGGCTAGTTGTTCACGTAAGAAGCTTGACGTCTTTTACTTCCAAAAACAGATTTGTGTGGGGTAACTTTAAGCTTGTCACATAATTTCTAGAGGAAGGCCACCAGAGGATCAGGCTCTTATTTGTCTAAAAATCTGCCTACTTTAGTACTGCTGCACTGACAATGTCCCCCCCAGGCTACAACAGACAAACAACCGTTTAGCAGGTGAGATGAGCTATATTAATTCAGAGGCCAGCCAACGAGCTCTGTAGAATTAGCTTGGCTTACCGGCGCAGATGTCTGTTTGTACGGTTGCATTCATTTACAGCATTGTGGGTAGGTCTATTCTCAGGGTTCATATCGGGAACCCATCCCATTAGCAACAGCACTACCACAGCGATGCAAACGCTCTCACACACACTCACTGATGCTCTCCTACGCAAATGTCACCTCTATGCTATATGTGGAGCAGATGTGGGAAAACCATTGTCACTCGCATAACTCAGGCTAACCAAGTCATTATGCAATATCAAACATATTGCCTGATTTTGCAAAACTAACACAAAAAAAACTCAAGAAATGCCATTATTTGATTATTTAAAAAGCCAATCACCATCTTTTTCCTAAGCATTTGATGGTGAAAAGTACAGCATCAGGTTTTCAATCAACGTCTTCATTCATTTAACAGCATTCTTTGAAATCCCCATGCCTACAGCAGGCAGTGCAACACACACTCACACCCATGTTGTATTGGCAAGACTGCTCTGGTCACATGAGCGATGATTCTCTCAAGCTTCTGCTGCTGCATAAGAGCACCTTTGTCATGTATGAATATCATACAAAAACACTTATCTCTAGGGGGGGATATCATAATGCAAGTATCATGGGGAAAGTGTTTTTGCTTCAGATGGACAACATGCTGGCGTCATCTCAAAATAAACCACAGAATCAGTTAGTATAAAAGGGCACCTGCTCATGGATAAAGAGAGAAAACGGTATCAAATGATCGTAACATATTTTACACAATCTATAACAACATCTATGCTGTTATTGCATGTTGCTGTTATCCATACCACCCACCCAACCCCCAACCCCCCCCCCCTCCCCCTCGCAGTGCAGTGGAAATTTCCTACGAGTCCTTCACAAACAGCCTCTACAAAAAAATCATGTCAGGACACGAAATAGATTAAAACACCACAAAGGTAATAACTCACAGGTTGTGTAAAATGATGGTACATATTTGCAGTAGGGTCAACCCCACTCTATAATCTTATTTCCAGTCAATGAATACATTTAAATTGGAAATTCCCCAACAAACAAGCAGTCTCCGGCTGGAGTCCAATGGCTGGCAGAGGCTCACTCAATGGTTAATATAATACCACGTTAAGATAGCACATAGCAAAGGTTATTTAACTATCTGCACTGTTGTAAACAAATTGCTTAATTTTAACATTTCGTCGATGCAAAATTGCAACGCTTGCAAGCACCTGATCCCGAGAGCAAAATGGGGAATAAACAAACCATGAAACTACAAATAATCAATTCAGCCATAATTTAACTACGAACAAGCTCCATGTACATAACATTATATACACATTTGTAGTGTGCCTTTATTATTTGTATGCTTTTAATTCAATTGTGAAATATTGTATTGTTGTTTGTGTTACTGCAACGGCTGAGATATGAAAACATCCCTCTGATGCAACTGCTAACGTTCGCGCTAGCCGTATGCTAACACCGCTAGCAATTAAAACCGTTAACATTCAGATCAAACATAAACAAACACTACATTACCGACACAATACAGTTATTAAAACTTTTTACACATAAGATTTTTAAATATATAACATTGATAAAATGCCATGAATGTATAAGACGGCAACATTAAATGTTAGCTAGCTAGCATCTCATCTTTTAGGTAACTCATTTCAATGGCATTTCACATTAGCTAGCAAGCTAGTGCATGGATATCAACAGCAGTGATGATTATATTTTTGTGTATTTGCTAGATAAATACCAATGTTACTTGAATGTCAAACATTCGGGATAAATGACAGGAATGAAGAGTGGATTTTTTAAGACATTTTTATAAAAAGGTATTAAACCAAACGCGGTTGACGATTTAATTTGGAAACCTGAATAAATAGTGCTGTTATGTAAACAAGAAGCCCAGGTAATAGTACTAGCCACTCCAGGAAATATACAGCTCCCTTAGCTAGGCCGCGGCTTTTAAATGTATCCTAGCTTGCTAGCTTATGACAACAATTCACAACGGCTACAACAACATACCTTCCACTTTCAGGTTTATTACTGGATTGTTCAATAACAGGCATTTCGGTTAAGTTTCTCTCTTTTTCTCTAACAAAACAATGACTATTCAAAATCGTCTGTAGGTTAGATTTAACCATAAGGCCAGCGTCCACACCAGCGGCTCTCTGTCTCTCCTCTACCCTAATGCTGCGCTCAGAGCCGGCTGCAGTATTTCAGAGGGGAGGGTCCTGCCCTGAATGACGTGCTGCTGTGAAAATATGACGCATTATGAACCACTTCACTAATAAATAAACAAGCACATTTATCTTAAGAAAGCATCAGAATGAGAAATCCTTTGTTTGTGGGAAATTAGAAGCGTGGATGAGAGGCACACATAAAACTAGGCTTATTTATTAATTTTACAAATAGTGTGTAATGATAAGAAATCCTTTATTTGTCCGACAGCAGGGAAATTAAAAGTGTTGATAAGAGGCACACGTAAAACTAAGCACATTTATTAGTTTAACATACATTGTGTAAAACTAATCATAATGTCAACATTGGGGTTTTTTTCTGATAAAATGTTGTAGCCTATATTTAATCTTAAAGTGCACCTATCATGCTATATTTGAAACATATATTGTAGGGCCATACCTATATAAAACATGTCTGTGAAGTTTTTTTTTGGTAAAAAAAAGTAATATCTTCCTTTATATATTGGTAACTCTAACTTTCCAAATAGAAAAATACAAAATTACCCTTTGAAATCTAATTTAGTATAGTACTGTATAGCGCACAATGGAAACCGGTAAATGTTAGTACCTCAAATTTGCAACTCAATACAGTGTAGTACATGAGTAAAAGTACTTCCACCTGTCACTTACGGGTACTAAACAGACTTATAAGGTACAAAAGAGAAGCCCTATTTTGGATTTTCCCAAAAGAGCAATAGTTTTATGATTTTATACCATTAGGCATCTAACTAAATGCAATTAATTAGTATAAAAAAGGCTAATGCTGTTTAATGCTCTTTAAACTTGTCCACCCATAGCCTGGTAAGTGTAAACAGTCTCTGTAAATGTCATTTTCCTTTTTTCAACTACTGTCATCTGTGCCTGTCAATCAAGGAGCTAAAGAGCATGGTGCATGGTGCAGGTTGTGTTTAACGCCGTCTCTGGTGCCTGCAGAACTGAAAACACTGTCAAAACAACCTCCTTCACTTCAATACTGAGACACAACTGAAGGCTCAAATCAGGTACGTTTCTTAATGTATTCAAGATGCTCATATATAACCTAACTCATTAAATATCATTATTGTGATTAGCCAAGTGACTATTTAAAGCTGGCTTATTTAAGCCTATGAGACACTGCGACCATTTTTAAGACTGTGCACACAGCAATACAGGCGCATATACTTAGACTTTCAATTGTCCTTATGCATGTCAAAAACTCAATTTCTTATCTTGACTTACTTTAATTTTGTGACCAGCTATTAATATAGGAGTACAGGAATTAAGGAGGGAGAGTTGGAGTGTCTGAAAACATCATAAGTAAGACAAATATCCATAATTTAAAAATAAATACATTGTGAATTGTATTGCAACAAGCCTCTGACTTGTTCGTGTTTGTCCACAGTGTCGGGTTATGACCGTATTTTGTCCATCGAACATTTGAGTGATGTTCCTAACCCATGGAAAGGTTTTACCATGAACCGCTGCCTAGTGCTGGCTCTGGTTGTTCTGCTGGTGAGCTCAGGAGTCAGCGAACTGCACGGTGAGTCATGATACACAACGTTTTATATGGTTTGTTTTCAGTGGTGGACTGTGATAAAGTACATTTACTCAGTTACTATTTTGACATACTTGTTCTTTACTTTACTAGTGTTTTTATTCTATGTTTCATATACATCTGATTTACTATATTTTGGAGGCAAATATTGGACTTTTTACTCCACTACATTTATGTAACACTCATAGCTTTTAGCTATTATGTACATATAAAAACACATCATATACTTACATAATATAATGCACTGTACAATCTACCCAGTATTTAAAAAAGTATCTAGATTTGGCTCAACATTGGCAAACTGTAACATTAAAACAATATGTATTTGTTTGTGTTAAAAACTGAATTTTAATGTTCTACAACACCATGAAAAGAGCTATTAACCGGGTACTTTTTTGATAGTAAAAAGTCAATTTTTATGAAAATACTTCTGCACTCTAACCTTATTGAATAAAGTAAAGGATCTAAGTACTTGTTACGCTACTGTTTGTTTTTCGTCTTTATGCAATAATACAGTATGCAACTTGCATGGATACTTCTCTATACGACATATATGTATTATTGTTACAGTGTATTATTTTAATATTTTCTACACAACAAACTCTTTCTCCTCTGTTACAGTCAGCAGGAATTTTTTGTGTTTTACATATAATTTTCTTTCTAGATGCAATGGATTCTTTTGTTGAGGAGACAGGAATAAGGTCTTTTGTTGGAAGTCTGCAGGATGGTTCAATATTTCAGGTATAGTCTTCCTCTTTAAAGAAGATTACCCAAACCTATTGGTTTCGATGTTGAGTGATTTAAAGGGTAATATTTTTGTGATGTTATTTAGATTTCTTATCTACTCAGTGGTATAAATCAATAGAGGCCTTGTGTATACTGAATCTCTGTGTGCAGTTTAAAGGTACTTTATACTGAACGATGAGACTTCTTGATGTTATCCCGTTTGCATGATGTGAAGGTGATCCGTACAGTCAATAGTCAGCACTAAGCTATTACCTTTTTATCATCAAGCTTACAGAAGTTTAAAGAAAAGATTGTCAAAATATAGAAATAAAAAGAGACCCTAAAGCATTTACTTCATTTATTTTCATTTAATCGTTTATTTGAAGAGGGACAATGCATATTGATGAACATTTAAAACAAATAATGCTTTAAAACGTAAACATGCTGGATTTTAGCTTTGAGCTCATTTCCATCCGTAGTCCCTCACATACAACATTTCTACACTTCTTAGGCCCATCATTCAGAAATGTAGACATGCTTACAGTGTTGAAGTGTTTGTAAATTGCTTTGGATAAAAGTGTATAATACAAATCATAACAATGCTGTTAGGCCAATAAGTTCAATGCATTAGCGATACACACTTACTATTGGTAAGTATTGGTCTCACTGCATTGCAAGTATGACTGCACTTCATTGCATCACTATATATGTGACATTTTTAAAGGGTACAAGTAAAAAAAAAACTGAACAAAGATATGTTCTGCTTTCATGTGGTGGTATATTGTGTGTATTTGAGGAATCACCTGTGAACTCAGACTGTTTTTTCCTGCTGCCTGTCTGCAGATCTCACTATGGGACAATTTCATGGAGTGGTGGGGAACTGAAGAACTCGGAGCGATAAGAAGAAGAAAAAAGCCGATTGGCAACAAGTCGATCCTGAAACCCAAACCTAAAGTATGATTTGAAAAAATAAATGTAATCAACTTTCACAACAGCATGTTTCCAAATTGAGAACACAAATCATCTTCATTATACAGTACCTTGCATTTAATCAAATAAAGATGCAGAATGCTAATCCATTTTTTATTTCATTTGTCAGACAGGAAACATTAAATCTACCTTTTAGCATCACTGATTTAGAACTGTAATGTACTGCCACAGTGTAACAAAGTCTTATATTGTCTGTAAAGTTTGCCTTTAAAAACATTGTAATAAAACATATTTACAGAAAAATATGATGATACTTATCATAACTGAGTGTGAAAATACTGCAGATAATACATTGTCTTTATACTGTATGTGAAAGCATATAGCATAAAGAAACCTCTGTGAATGAACACGTACATTTACTAAAAGCAGAGGTGGACAAAGAACTCAAAACCCTTATTGAAATAAAAATAGTAATTTGACAGTAAAATTACAAAAGTAATAGTCAAGTATATTTAAAACACCAAAACTGGACAGTACTCATTCTGCTGCAATTGCCCATTTCAAAATGAAATATGTTATATTATTGGATTATAATTATTGATGCATCAACGTGTTCACCATTTTAATGATGTAATTGTAGAAGGAGAAGCTATTTTTTAGGTTGGAGTAAAGCACACAATATACTTGCCTCCTAATCCGAAAATCGAAGTATAAATTAGCAATAATTGTAAATAAGTACAATTCCCTCAAAATTATACGTAAGAAAAGTACATACATGTATTAATGTACTGTCCATTGCTGACTACCAGAGTATTAATACTGTAGGAATAAATAAATGATACTAACGTGTGATATTTAAAATAGTTTTACAAGTTAAATATGCAAAACATATTTTGTGTCGTAATAAAACTACAAGACGAAAACATACTCAGCGACATCCGCACTCCTTCGCCAACATGTTTGGTTGGAGGGAGATGGAAGTCCCGCCTGGGTCCAGGGACATCACATCCAGGGGATCGTAGGCTGTGGGCACACAGCAGGGGGTCCGCTCCTCCACGTTCCCATTCTCGATGTAGGAGTTGAGCAGCATGGCGTGGTGGGTGGGGTTGACCAGGGGGAAAGCGCACGAGCCTTGGCAGTTGTTGATGTTAGCCGTGTTGGGACCCAGGAATTGCTTCAACAGGGACACGGTGAGGCTCCTCAGCCCGCACACGCTGGCCCCCACTGGGTTGTCAGTGCTGTCTCTGGTGGATCGCAGGCTTCTCTGCATCTCGTATCCACGGGCCACCGTCTGCAGGGCCCTCAGCAGAAGGAAAGCACGGTACTGGCTCGCTCCTGTTCTAGAGGGAACACAAGCACCAGTTACAAAGTGAGTTTCATACTGCCAGGTATCTTTATTGATTATAGTGCTTCTTATCTATTAGATTATTTATTTATTTATTTCATTTATTTTCTAGTATATGAACGTGCAAAGTAACCCAAGCTGTCAGATAAATGTAGGTGAGTAAAAAGAACAGAACAGTACTTGAATAAATGTCTACATTGACTGTGATTTCCAGGGGCTTTAGTTATTTTGCATGTGAAGAAGCTCAACTCATTTGAAAAAAATATATTTGATCCACATATTGAGTGAGCTATGAAACTAAATATAACATATCAAATATTGCATATCAATATTCCATGAACAATAATTAAAAACAATTATGCTTTAAAAAGCAAAACTATGAAATCCTTGAAAAAAAAGAGAAGGGGTGCGATTAAATAAGTGTAAACTTCTTCCCACCCCT